TTTTTTATCTTATCGAGTAGTAAGTTGTGGTCTCTTATCAAGACCCAGATGCTCCTAAAAGTCTGGCATGTTCTCCTGCCTAAAATACAAGACAACTACCAAGTCAAATCAAGGAAGAAATATATATTAGTTGAATCAGTGATGAAAGAGGAAGTAAACTCCTACAAAGGATCAAAGAGAAAAGAAGAACTTGTCAGAGAATCCACAATACACTGGTGGATTGGTTCAGCTAGAAACTGGATACTAGATACTAATGAAGAACAAATCACAGGTTGTTCCAAGAAATCAAACAACTCTTTGGCAGGTCATCAATGGCCCTCCTAGCAGTCCCATCAATTGAAAAGAGAAGTTATTAATCTCATATTTCCCAATTCAGGAAGCTATATTAGTAAGGCAGTTCAGAGGAGTTTGCAATCCATTCATTTAGCTATGTTTCTGAGAAAGGCATATAAAATTATTTTATTTTACCAGTTTTTTTTATTGAAGATCTAGCTTAAGTTCTTACAGAAGTATATAACCTATGAAATGAGCTTCTCAAGATCTAGAAATGTTCCTTTTAGAAACTGAAGATTGAGCAAAAAGATGTCTTGTGCCAATAATTCTTTGCTGAATCATTTAAGGGCTCATGCCCACTTATTATACACAACCTTTCCTTCTTCTTTCTATGAAGTGTACAAGAGTTCTATCCGATTCCTTAGGAGGTTGCTAGAGTAGGTCCATGGCTACAGAGTTTCCCATGAGTAGAGGTATACCTGTTGCAGCAAGAGTTATCTATTATTTCCTGCAGTTGCCTCTCCCTGGTCTGTCTAGTTTAGCTTTCTCCTCCCTTTGCTTTGCTGTTCTGTGGTTTGCTGTGCCTGGCCTGACACTTTAGCACTTCTCAGATCTATGAAATTCCATTTTGAATTAGCCAAAAGGGAAGTTAAATGTGATTGCAAATTCAGCCTTTTTATTAACACTACCCTGACCTTAGGAGTAGAGGGAGAAATAATTAGGTGTTTGCTTTCTGGACAAACAGGAGGGAAAGTGCGCTTCCTGAATGATGCTGCTTTAAGCTGCTGGGTAAAGATAACTAACCTGCAGTCAGAGCTATATTTCACACTGGGAAAGGTGAACTACCTTGCCTCTTAAAAATTGATTGACTATCAATTATAATAGAAGACAATCATATAAAACTATAAAGCAATAACATAATAAATATAAAAAGCAAATAAGATCATTAATAATAATGAATGTAACAGATAAAATCAAAATAAAACTATTAGCAAATCAATAGAATGTCAACTCTTAATGGAAGGAGAATGTTGTTTATGTTGTGATGGAAAGACCCATTATGAAGTTCCCCAGGGGGTGGGCAAGATACATAACAAAATGAAAACATACAACCATCATCAATCCATCATAAGTATTAAGCTTACATGCACATTATAGGTGAAGAATATAATACTTCTGGTTGTTAGTTACAGACAGTTGACAGCTTAAAACATTCAAACATATTACTAATAAGCTACAAAACTTATTGGACAATAACATTACATTTCCTCAGGCACTTGGAGGCAAACCTCTACTTGTATCCAAAGAACCACCAACCAACCTGAGCCAGATTCTCACAAGCAACAACAAACAACCTACACATTTATGCCAATATGAGAATCAGACACTCCAAAATCTCAAATGTCTCTTTTGTCCACATATCGACATCAACAACTCAATCACAGGGATTAGCAAGTATACAAAGATTATAGGTATCTTCACCTTTCTACCTCTAATGGAATAAATATCATCATCTTCCAGTATTGTTCTTTGAATTCTACATAGGACAAATAGGAAAAAAATTGTGCAAAAAAAGTAATGGATAGAAGCTTGACATGAGGACTCAGAACAAGGACAAAGTAATATCAGATCATTTCAAACTTTCAGGATACTCTGTGGACTATCTCAAAGTGATTGTTTTGGAAAACTGAGTTTTTAATAGCACTATTGAGAGATAAATTGTTGAACTCACAATCAAAAAGGACCAGATAATCTCAGAGGGTCTCAAAACAAATAAAAAAAACCCACAGTGGCTTTCTAACATATTATAATTGTTAACTTGGGAGGTATTTATAATTTGTCTCACACGTAACCTGTGTCTGCATAATCAATCTTTCTTACTCTTCCTTTCACACACCCTGTCTCTTCCTAGTTTAAGTCTATATCAGTCAAATCACTCTATGCATTTTATGACATGAGCTGCACCTTGTGGATGCTTATGTCTTTTGATAAAATTTGCTAAATGGAAAAGGTGCTACCAGATGCCTTCTGATTTTTGTTACCATAGACAAATACGGCTCTTCTTTACAATACATTATATTTATATCCTACCTTTTCTTTAGTAGCTCAAACGTCTGAACATGTAACCTTATTTTATCCATATAACAACATACCTTTCAGATAGGTTGGATTGCACAGAAAGATGGCAACTTTCTGATAATGTCAAATCTTGAATTGAATGTCTCTGCAATGTAGGTAGGATGTGATTAAATAATATAAATATAAAATATAAAGCAGGAAATCCTGCTTACTTAATGGAATCTGTTTTTTTAATCTTTATATAGTATTTAACTTTGCTTTCCTAATAACACTTATATTTCTCTCTTATAAAACAATTTAATACTTTATTTCAATAATTATTTAATATATCAGCTGCCTTCAACATATGTCTCTTTGCAAGATTTTCTTTTTTAATCATAGAGATCAAAACATCATTCCCATTGCTGTAATGGTCTCTTTATGTTGGGAGAGAAAAAATGTGGCTCGTTGCTGGTTAAGAGCTGATTTCTTTTCTGCTTCTTTGTTTGACAAAATGGTTCTTAGCTGCTTCATGGATTCTGATCTCCAGGAAATGCCTCCTTTCATTTCCTTATTAAATTTGATTATTTATTAGACATGTCCACTTTTATTCTTTCATTTGTTATTTCGTGCAGACCCACATGTTGCATTTGCACTAGGAAGTGGATGCCAAATTGCTTTTATGACTGTAGCTAGATGCATGCATGTTTAAAGGGTGTTTTCATGCTGTTTCATTATGCTATATTTATAAAGTAAATGCAGGTACGGTATGTATTCCTGAATGAATAGATGAGATAAGGCGGTAAGCTTAAATGAGGAAAAAAATGAAAGAGAAGACTGAGGAAATAGAACTTTTCCTGTGTCCCTGTGAAACCTAAGGAGGTATCCTTTTGGAATATATTAGTTTATTAGTGAAAATATATCAGAATGATACATTTCTTATGCAATACAAATATTTCCATATATTATTGATAACAAATCCAAATTCAATCCAATCTCTCAGTTCAGTGCTTAAATTTTTGAGTCAGTTTTCATAAACTGTGCTAAGCAAATTTTTATATCATAACTAATAGATTATGAATAACGTATGGTGGATATTTCCATAGATTCTAGATACAAGAAATTACCTATTAGGCATTAAATAGGTAATTTCTTGTATGTAGAATTTATGGAAATGTCTATATGTTATTCATAATCTATCAGTTATATCAGTTATAAATCAGTACGTACATACATACACACAGATCACTCCAGCAAATAAATAGGTATTATATTGCTGGAGTGATTATGTATGTATGTATGTATGTATGTATGTATGTATGTATGTATGTATATACTGATATATAAATCAGTAAATTTATCCCAGGCTCTATTACACTGATTGAACATTTAGTTATTAGTTATCTTTTAATAGGATCCCAGTCTGGGTCAATCTGTAATGCCTAATTCTTATAAGATCAAGAAAAAAATAGATTTTAATTGCTATGTATTTGTAATGACACTTTGCTTTATAGTCTGACCATCAAAATATCCAAGAAGAATGATTTTTAAATGTATTTGTTTTTAATCCAGTAATTGAATTGTGTATGTTTGCTGCTCAATCTTTTATGACTATGTCGCTAGATTCCTCAGGAAAAAAATAATTTGCATAGTTGAGCTCAACAAACTTTGCTGACAACTAATACAATTTAAAAATATGTTTATCATTAGCATTTTAGACTAATGAAGAGTCGGTCTTAAATCTTGCTACAGTATCTTTTGATCAGTACTACAATGTATAGATAGAATTAGAATTATTTGTTTACTAGAAGATAGAAAGTCTCTGTACTTAAAGAATGAATAGTGAAAGACTGTAGATATAATTTTTGCTTTTGTAGATAAGGTTTGGATATTCAGCATGAATGAAATACATGCAAAAACATGAATTGCTTTGAACTATTGCACTGTATTTTAACTGATGACAAAACAAAATCCTGAATGATTAGGAATAGGAATTGAAATGAAATACACCTAAAATGTTGATGTGAATAAATTGGGCACTTTGCTCCCATTGGACTTTGGGGACGATCAGACAGAATGAAATCCTGTTAAACTATCATAAATAACAGGTTTTACCAGATGAATACAGTGGACATAGTAAAGTATTTTGCCTTGCTTAAAGTGGCATCAGAAGACAGATTACATTCTGGAATTTGTTAGGCTGTTTTGGAGCACTTTATAATTCCTGTAAATTCAGATAGGTAAAAATATTTAAATAAGATGCTTATGCTTAAGTATGCCAAAATCTCTCACTGTTCAGTGAAGAGGAAAAAAGTATCTCTTCCCACCTCATTTACCTGTTAAAGCATATTAATCCTACGTCTATTCCCAGGCCTTATCCAACAAAATTTCAGTAAGACTTTTTAATTAAAAAAAGAGTGGGGAATTTACTTTTCACCTTCACCCAAAGGTGAATTTTTTAAAAAATGTTATGGATGTATTGCTCACCTAATACCTAATTGGGAGATTAAAAGTAGAAGAAAAAAAAACAGGAATTTCAGAAATACGCAATAGGATGGCATGGCTAACCTGAGAATATATAGAATACAAAGTTGGCCATTTGCTTTTCTTAATGTATAACGAACTGTTGATCAACATTTTTTTCATACAAGGTTATCTTTCCCATACAGATGCCCATTATATAACTTGTAGAATTCAAGAATGTTCAGAGACCACTAGGAATGGACCTTTTTTGCATTCCATTGATACAAGTTCACTTGTTGTCCAGGATAAATATATCTTTATTCAGGTAAGTCTACACATCTTGGCATATTTTTTATGAGAGAATTACCTCCCAGTTATCAAAATGGTACCTAACTGGGAAATAATTTATTACTATGGGAAAATTCTCTTTATTAAAGAATCAAGAATATTGATCATATTTTCAAAACAGAATAAACCTTCATTGACAAAAAGTGATAAGAGCACAGTTGTTTTTCATGTTTCTAATAAAGAAATATCGATTATATTCTCAAAATGCTTATCTTAATATCAAGAATGAAGTTATCTATCTCTCAATATATGTAATATTTTTATTTCTCCATTTTATTTGTATTGATAATTTATGGCAAAATGAATGTGCTACACTACTGTTATTGGTTTTCCCTTTTCCCATGTTTAAAAAAAAATGTTTCCTGTTACATCCATGTTTTCTTTAGTTGTGGGTAATGTAACGATCAGTCTTTTTAAGTTATGCCAGGTTAGAAAACACACACTGCAAAGACTACTAGAATAGTGTTTTATTGTTATAGGATATATTAACAGAATTTTAAAAGCCTGCCAGCCTTTCCATCTGCTTCTCCTTAGACTAAAAAGAATTCAGGGAAGATATCTTGAGCATCTTTCTGACCCTTTTGTCTTATTCAGATGATGTTTATTTAATTGCTCTTTCATTTCTTTTTCAAGGTTATGACAATACTCTCCTGATAACTGTCCAAACAATATAAATATATATTTATAGTAATTTTATTGTTCAGGTATTATTAAATATAAAATATCAAGCTAATAGAATGTTAAATATAAAGGACATCCATCTTTACATTTAGAAAAACAGACATTCAGTGACTATTCAATTGACAGGCTGTCTAGATATGGGGAAAGCAGATGCATACAGGTTACATCTTCCCTAATTATAGATTGTAGTATAATTATGACATAAAATATATATGATGAAAAGGTAAAATTCAGAAAATGAAATAAAATATATCCAGTTTTTTAAAATGATATTATAAATAGGAATATTCAAAATATTTTTTCTCTTAATCTAGCAATAGCAGTAGCAATAGCTCTTAGACGTATATACTACTTCACAGTGCTTTACAGCCCTCTCTAAGGAGTTTACAAAGTCAGCATATTGTCCAAAACAATCTGGGTCCTCATTTTACCAACCTTGGAAGAATGGAAGACTGAGTCAACCTTGAACTAGTCAGGATCAAATTACTGTGGACAAAGTTAGCTTGCAATACTGCATTCTAAACATTGTGTCATCACAGTTCCTAATCTACTGATTCCAGGGATGCTCTAATACTGTAGGTCTTTTTGAACAGAAAGCTGTTTTTAGTGTTTTAATTGTAATTTTTGCTCCAGAACATTTTGAATTGATTCCTGCTCCAGAAGATTTATTTTCAGGAAGAAATTGGACCATCTTGAAATGGCTCTTTTACAGAAGAAAGTTAACATTATTTCATGGGCAGACTGGAATTCAGTTGTTGATCCATCCTCACTTATGGAAACTCACTGACCGATATTAGCTTTTTTCCTGAATACATTTAACTTCACAGCTTTCTAATGGTATGAAACATGAACTGAAACTCCCTATATGAATTGCTATGAATTTCTGAAGAAAAGGCTAACCAATGGATGTAACATAAAAGTTGTGATGTACACTGATAAGAATAAAGATTAGTTCAAAGATTGCAGCATGCATATAAAAAAGTCCCTGTGGAAAGATAAATAAATTTAATAATAAATATTTTTTTTAAAAAAGGCAAAATACAAATATCATGTCTTTTATAAAAAAAGCTGTATTTAATGCACTAATGTCCTTAAATTGTAAACCCTTTGAATGCTATCAAAACCATAATCCATTATATATGTTCTCCTTCCATGTCGAACTCACTGTAAAACATTGGTTGTCCTCCAGTTGCTGAACTACAGATCTCAGAGTTTTTCAGTATTGGCCATGCTGGCCCTTGATCAGTTTATTTATGGAGTGTATGGATTTTTTATTTGCAGTGATCTTATGAATTTGCATAGTATTTCTTTCTGGAAATAGCAAGCTATGAGGATATGACAGAAGCAATTCAACAAAGTATTCTAGGACTTTCCTTTACACTTAGAACACATGATTGTCTAAAGCAGCTTTCTCCATCATGTGGTTCCCCTTCATATGTTGAACTTCAACTACCGTAATCCCAGTCATCATTTCTAGAGGATAGGTAAAACCTTCTAAAGACAAGTCCTATTTTTTATTCTGAAGTTAAGCAACAAATATCAGACACTTTGCACAGAATTGACAGGGTAATCTTTCATTTGCACTGGTTGGCATTCATCAGAAACAAAATGCTTGGGGCTCAAAATCTTTGCTGCTATTTTTAAAAAAGCAATGCATCAAATTTTTGATCATTGTTTTTCAGCTACTGTTACAGAATATTTTTGTAATCTGCTGTTTTGAACATTAAAAGTTCAGATGAAGATTTTAAAACTTACAAAACTCACACAACTCATTCACCTTTCTATGCCAAAAAGGCCTGTATGTTCTCCCCTTGCTTGTATGGTTCACAAGAAAACTATAGAAGGTTATACTCAAACAGAACTTCCGTTTTATTTGAATCTAAGTAAAAATTGAGGATAAATTTGGAATGTTAGTGTACGTTCGATAGAAAAGTCCACATACCTGCAAGAAACTAGGTTCCTTGGTGATCAAAGGCATCTACAAGAACAGAGGAAGATAATCCACACCCCTGCCGATATTGTTGAGCTTAATTCCTATCAGATCTAGCCAGCATGACTAAAAGTCAGAGTTTATGGCATGTGTCATCCAAAAATATCGGGAGGGCCAGAGATTTCCCCTCTCTATTAGGCTATAAGAATCCAAGTAGCACATGATGAGAACAGATTACTTTACAGCATCGATGTTTCTAATATACAAATTGCCAACCCACAGTTTTATAGAGATATACTGCCTGCAATTACTATGCAGTTTTCAAGAAATATTCATGTCTTGATGCAGTCTTTGGAAGCCTGTAAAAAATTACCATAAATGCCGGCGTATAAGGCGACTTCCACGAACACTGAAATCGGCGCCAAAGATGGGGGTCGTCTTATACGCCGGAAATACTGGTAGTTTCCAGCGTATAAGACGACGTTCTAGGAATGCAGCCCGGTGATAAAGACGGGGGTCGTCTTATACACCGGGTCGCCTTGTACGCCGGCATATATGGTATCTAAATTTTTCATTGGCCACTTGATCCCCCTTTTTTCCAGTAATACTATTAAAGATTTCTTTACATCTCCCAGCAATCTTCTTCAAAAGGAATAGTATGCATATGATATATGTGAGTGCCCTTTCTTGAATCCAGCCACATAACTGGCACACATCTTAGAACAAGCAATGTTGCCTTGCATGATATAGACTATAATATTTTTAAAATGTCAAGTATTATAGAAAAGCTATCACTCACAGTTTTTTTCCAGTCCTACTATACTTTTTATTCAGAACAAAGGTATAGGAGTTGGAAACATTTCAAGAACTATTACAGAGTAAAAATGTATATATTATAGTCATTAACTAGCATTTTATATATTTGTAAAATTTTACACAGCTCAAATTTAGATACAGAGATATCTAAATAAGATTTCTAAATAGAATATTTAATATTAAATAGAATATTTAATAATATTAATAGAAATAAAATGCTTCAAATTGCAAGATACTATAAGTACAAGTAGTGGAATAGTAAAACTAAATTATAAAACTACTTTGTGAATAAAATACTAAAATATTAAATTGTTAAACTACTAAGTGGATAGATATGTATATATGTGTGTGTATACTTTGTTATGGTTCTGACCAGTGAGATGTAACAGAAATAGATAGCATAGAAATCATAAAAATAGTTTGCATATTTATAAGATTTTAAATTCAGAAGAATGTTTTCCTTTGTAAAGCAGTGGCAGCTGAAGGAGATCATGCAATTCATCATAGAAGAGCTTAAACTCATAGCAAGCAAAGTTATGAGGGTAGGATGCAAAGAGCATGTGGGCTAGAATTGTAGTTCTTTTGAAAGCTCATTCGGAAAGGTTTGCTCTTCAAAAGGAATATTGTTACAATAGTGGCCAAAATTGTGGAAACCTTTTCAGAAAAGTGTACAGTAGAAATGCCATCTTTGGTTAAGTTTCCACCAATTTTTCTTCTAATTTCTTCATAACTGTAGCCTTGTTCACTTACTAATACTATTTTACATCGCTTTCTGGGCAACCAGTCAACTCTTTGCACCATTACTTTAATTTTATTATGTTTTATAAGCTCACTAAATGAACCAACTTGATAGCGATCACATAACACACTGACAAATGTCCTCCTCTCAGCTTCAATACATGATATCAATAACTGAATCCTACTGTGATCTGATTGGCTCATTGCCAAAACAAGATGGCACCTGACTGGCTCCCTAAACACTCCTGCTCATTGACTACAATCATATGAAGGAAAGCTACTTGATATCAACCTAAGCAAGTTGTGCTTCCTTTTTCTGGTTATTTGGCTATAACTTTTCATAGAATATAGTATAGATAATTGAACAAACTATGTTGCGTTACATTCTTGATTAAATTATCTTTCCATTGATATATAATTGTATGATACTACTCCAAAAAAGTGGTGTTATTAGACATCAAACCTCAAAAATACACTTTTCTCAAAATGTTTCCACAATTTTGGCCACTACTGTATAATTTCACTTCAATATTCAGAGGGTAAGACATTAAAGCAAACTAAGGAAACAGTTTTTAGCAGATAATATTGAACAGTTAATTAGTTGATATGAAGGCTTCCTGTGTATATCCTGGCCTCACTGACATGATCCTTCTGGATCTTGGTTTTCCAGAAAGAAGTAATAATAACTAGAAGGATCATGATGGTCAAGGGCTTTATCAAAGCTTGAAACAGACATAGCATATGAAGACTCTCCCTATATTCCAGTGGGATCATTCCAGCTTTTAAATAAAGTGTTGTATTTCATATACAGC